TTATATTTAGTCATTAGCCATAATAACATTTTCCTAAGTTTCACAAATGTCATTCTTTGCAACTTGATACTCAATTAAATTACATATGTATATACACGCATACACACACATAGAGCGAACATGTAATGAAGATGCATTGGTAGATGAGCAGACCCTTCTAGAAAACATGTTTTCATCTCCATTTTCAAACTTCTGGGGTGAGAGGCAGAGCAGGGAGGAATGGCAGCAAAATGCTATGCCTCCTGCTTTCCCCAGCCTATAGTTTCCACATTTGAAAATTTAGAAAACTCTACCCCTCTTTCTCCTTCTTTGAATGGCACAAATAAATACACTACATAGATTTTTCTGGGTTTAAAGGCTCTAGGCAATAACTTTATTACTTCAACCTGAAAATATCAAGCCATTAAATTTTGTCTGGGTAGAATAAATCCCTGTGGCCTCCTTTAAAGCAATGTAGGTCTCTGCTGCCCATGGGGCATATCTGTGTCTCAATCCACAAGAGATAGGACCAACAAACAATGAATGTGCAACTTACCCTTCTCCTTGGGAAGAAGAAAACATGCATGACTGGGAGGGGTGGGCAGATGCTGCCTTCCCCCTTCTGTTACTTTCTTTTCTGTCCTCTTTTTCTAACTTCATTTCACAGATAGGCTCAGTGCAGTCTGAAAATACTAAGATAACACTTGTAAATTTGTGACAATCACTACAATGTCCCATATCTGAGGTTGTTTTTTTAAATGCTCTTTATCCACTAACATTATTACATGCTAGAGCTTCATAATCTTCCAACTCCAGGGAGAAGTAAAAACTTTGGCTTACCCTAAGATTCCTTTCTGAGATCATAAACAAGAAATTCCCTTCTATAATCAAGACACGCCTTTCAGTAACATCAGATATAGTCTCTTCTCCCTTATCAAATACTCTTCCCATCTTCTTAGTACTAAGGCTTACCCTTTTCCCCCTGAGAACAGCGGGTAGGGAAGGTGATGAAACGTTGGAATAACGGACCATCCCTGCCCGTCTTGTCAAGAGCCTTTTGTATCCTTGCACATCTGTGCTATCTTTTTCTTATTCACTTGACACTGTAGGCTGAGGCCTGAAATAAGTGGGGAGAGAGATGAGTATCAGAAGTGTTCAGCAAGAACATAACAAAACATTCATCTTCTTCAGTGTGAATTGGTCTGGAGGTGGGATGGGAGGACTTTGAACAAGGAAAAAGGAAGGGACTCTTTTGAATAAATGAGAATAAATTTATTAGATACCCTTCACAATCAGATAACTTTTAAAAAAGCTTTTTAAAAAGGTCATTTTATTAAAATAAAATCTTTACATCTGAGGATGTAAGCCTTAATAACATCAAATCTTAGTCACAAATTTGAGAAGATTGCCCAATAATGTGTTTATATGTATTTGAACTGAGAAATTGTTAACCACTCTTGCTCCTTCAGGGTGTGTGGATCGTTCAAGGGCTACAGGCCCTGGATATACACACAAATAAGAGTGTGTACATCTGAAGCCCCTCACACTGTAATAAACACAGCTGCATTTATTTGAGTATGTGCTCCCACGTACATGTAAAAACATTCAAACAAACACACTCAGCAGATTTATTTGATTGTGCAATGGGGCAATTATTCAAATAAACTTGCTCGATGCAATTATTTGAATCTCACATTGCATGTTCATCAATCACTGCACTAAAAACTGAGGGGGAAAAGCACCAAAGAATTTACATGGGAAAAAGTATATGTGAAAACAACGTTATTATAGATTTTATAGGGTAGCTAAAGCTATTGGCTCCCTTCTTAACTGTAACTCAACTATTATGTATTCAAATGACATTTGTTTCTAATTATCAATTAGTTCACTCACTTTTTCATTGTATCAGAATGACCACAACATTCAGATTCATAAAATAGCAAACTTTACAAACCTTTACTGCACAAGGATGTGAAATCTCTACATTTCAAAAGCAGACTAGTTCTTTCCAGATACCTCGTATCAAGGGGATGCTGGTCAAATTATTATGGCTTAAATATACACCTGTGAATTTCAAAGATTTTTATACATGCAACAAAACATTCCTACAGTTGAAGACATTAAAACTACAGGTGGCTCATCTGAACATTTTATATATTAATAAGTATTACAACATATATGTGAACACATCACAAATCGTATTGGTGAACGAACAGGCTGTATATGCCTCTCTTAAGTATGTACTGACACAACCTAATATACTAAAATGGGAAGGGGCTTTTAGTCACTGAAATATGCATTGTGTAACAAAGATAAAGAAAATACATGGCTTGTGCCCATCATAAAAAAAGATTCAGATTGAAGGCTTAGCTTTGGTTTTTATTCAATTAAATTGTTAAACTGTGCACAGTGAATTTTTTTTAGAACTTGAGACATTTGTGATGTTGGCTGTTTAAATCTTTGTTACCTTCGCTGTGAATTGAAATTGTACATATTTAGTAAATCATGCAGACAAAACAAACTTTTTAGACAATATTTTTATTGAAGAGTTTTCTTTTCCTGTATCCATGTTAAAAAAAAAAAAGACCTCCTTTCCCAAAATAAAAATGTCGATACTAAATTTAAAGAAGTATAAAGGAATGATTGCTTCCTTTAGAGAAAAATATTTAAATAAACATGGAGATAATTGGCAATATGTTCTTTTTTGGGCTAGTAGGCCGTGTCCAATTTTTTGGGTCTGATGTTTTAGAGGGCCTCTGTTTCAGGGTTGAAGATGGTATATTAATCTCCGAATTAAACAAATGCTACTAAGTAAAGGAAATAAATCCCTCAGTCTTCATTTGTGTATGAAATATGGAATTAGCCCGAGAAATGACATTGATACGATGCTGAATATGCCACAAGCTAAAACTTTCTCTATAGAAGTCACCTACCACCTATAATCTAGTATGACATGTTAACATGCTCCAAAATGTGAAAGTGGAAAATGGGCCTCACTGTTCCCATTTGGTCTTGAAAAGACTATGACAGAGATTCTAATAATTTTAGTCAAAGAAAATGATGAGTAAAAAGTACATGAAGATTAAAGCAGTGACAAATGATCTTTTAAGTATTCTAATTGATCTTTCTCATTCATAGCTTCGATTGCACACAAGTTGCAAACCCTGACGATCTTGAGTTGTAAATGTTCCCAGTCAGCTTTCTTTCACTCCACAGCATGAATATGCCTGTTACATTTGGAACGAAGGATAAGCCCCCAAAATGTTAAACATAGACTACTGCCCTGGCAAGAAACTTAGCATTGGCAAGCACAGAACTCAGACAGAACTGATCCAACATAAGGAAACATTCAGAGAAAGATTCATGCATTATGATCCTGTTCTGACCATTTTCAGAGCTGTCAAAAGGAAGCAATGTGTGTATGTGTGTGTGAGTGTGTGTGAAATTTATGTATACATATGTGTAGCTAATGTTAAAACGAACAGTACTCAGAGGATGAAAGAGTCTAAACGGTGCTTTTGAGACATTTTCTATTTTCCTATCTGAAATAAGTTGAAAGCATCAAAACACTGACACTAGAAAAATAAGTCCTGAAGATAACTGCACAAAAATTTTTGACATAATTTATAAAGTATGCTAACAATTGAGAAAATATTAAATTAACTTTACTTATTTTACAGGAAACTTAGATTTTAGCATCTGACCTTACCTTAAACAAGAAAAAAAAAAATCACTGTTATCCATCCCTAAAACAGTCTTATTATAGTGCAAAGAATTACAATTATATTCCATGCTAGTTTTATTTAGGAAAAGAGAAATACAGACATCAAATTACATGAAAAATCAAGGATGAGTAAAGGAATATAAATTTAAAATTAAAATCAAGAGCATCTGTATGCTCATAAAAAAAAAGAAACATTATGGTGTATTTAGTGACCACAAGCAACCTAGACCTTGATCTGACATCTCTTCTGAATGACATCACTTCCAATACAAACATTTCCCAACCTAGTGCAGAAGTCAAGGGAGAACACCACCTAATGAATAACCTCAACCACTTCCTGCCATCCTGAAACATTCCGTGGAGGTCTGCGACTTCATCACTGAGCACGCTTAGAAAGTATGAGCTCATGGGTTTCCAGTTGAAGGTGTATCTAAGCAAGAGGTGGGGGGAGAGAGAGACAAACCATCCTGCTCAACTTGTTTTAACCCTAAAAAGTCATTTCTGGAATGTTTAGCTTAAGAATAATTAGCCTAACATCTACATAGACACTTCTCTGCAATATAAAGTGCTTTCATACTATCAAAGGTAATCCCATGAAAAGGGACAACTCACTCACTTTGAAATAATTGGTGATAGAAACTGAACATGTTGGCACAAGCTTACAATCCCAGCTATTCAGGAGGCTGAGGCAGGAGGATTGCCACAATCTAGCAATTTAGCGAGAACTTGACTCAAAATTTTTAAAAAATTTAATAGTCTGGAAATGTAGGTTAGTGATAGAGCACTTGCCTGGAGTGTGAAAGGCCCTGGGTTCACTTCCTAGCACCACAAGAACTACTTACTATGTTTTACCTTAATTTTGAAAATGAAAAATTAGAATAGTGGTTTTTACAACTATTTCTCCAGGAATTTTCATTGTCCTTTGAGTTTGATACCTTCACCTACAAATCAGCCTAGGTCGTAAACGCCTTCATGGCTTGACTAAATTAGAACACACTCAGTGTACATTACATTATCAAAAAATCCTTTTTCTTGTTCTTCAATAAATCTTTCTTATGAGTTGAGTAGGAGAAAAACCTTTATGTTTGTGCACTTGGAAAAAAAGAAGTTAATCTACCACCTATATAATGTAGATGAAGAAAGTGAGGTTTGTGTGTCCTTGAGAAGATGCTGGTTGTTTGGTTTTGCCCCACGATGATCTAGGAGGCAGTAGTCACAGACCGTCAGAATCCCAGTCTTCTGAAGCACTGTTCTTTACTCTTTCCCGTCAGCCACAGCAAAACATTCCTTCAGAAGGCTGTGGAAACATCAAAAGACATGAGCTGGCTCCTTTACTTCCTGCAAGAAGTTCGTTCTGTTCTATAACAACTCTTCATGCAAGAACGGAATGAAAATAATCTACTTCGGAGACCTGTGCTACTCTAACATGTCACCTCATCTGAGGGCTGTGAACCAATCGCTTATGGACTACAGTCTTTTTTAACTAAGAGCCAGAGACACTATTAAACTTGAGCAATATTCTTCACCACTTAACTGCTATTGATTCCTTTCACCCAGTTGTCTCAAAAGATGTTGACAATTCTCATATCTACTGAGGACCTACAGTTCCAGTCTAGCCTCCCCACCAACATTTTTCAGCCTGAGTCTACTTCCCAAGCCCTCAGTACCATTCTTTCCCTAATTGTGACTTTTCTCAACCCTGTGTGCACGGAGTGATCAAGACATGATTGGAGGTGGTAGCAGGTATACACAGTGACAGGAACAGCAGGAGATTCATTAATCTCCAGTGAGAATATTGGAATAGATGCAGAAAGACCAAAGAAGGTTAGAGTGGAAAGAGTGGAAGGTTAGAGTGGAAAATCAGACACCTTCTCACCCAAAGCCTTAGACCTTTGACCTTGGGGTCAGACAGAAATGGAACCAGAAGTGAGGTCTCCACTTATAGCACAGTTGTTTTTATTGCTTCTCTTAATGTTCACATTACTTCCATGATGTTTATATTCTATTACTTTTAGTTGTCCTGAAAATAGTACTAATAAGAATTGCAACATTAACAATGGTTTGGTTTATTGGGTCCCTACCATGTATAAAGCACAACATTAGAGACTACAGGACAAAAGTGAACCAGATGGCATTACTGACCTCAGATTTCCTATAATCTGGCAGAGGAATATACACAAAATAATGAGTTCTAGGTGCCTTAGGGCCTGTACCTATACATAAGTCAGAAGCATACATCAAGGTATTTCTTCCACTTAAACAAAAAAAAACACCATTCCCTCAATAATATTCCTATTGATGAGTCCTATGACATGGAATAGAGGCACTGTGGTAAAGAAATAGACAATACTCCAAACTTCAGAGATGCATACTGTAGTGGAGAAGGTAGAAAACAAAAATAATCCCTACAGACAGGTCTATTGCTTGAAAATTAAAGAAACTGTTACAACAGTGAGTGAGGTGGACATGAGGGACAGGCAGTTTCATCTGGGGAAGGAAGATTGTCAGGCGAGGGATCTGTGAAATAGTGATGTTTGAGTGAAGTTTAAAGGATGAGAAGTGAGCCATAGGAAGACCCAGAACGAGCGCTCCAGGAAGAAGGAACTGCAGGTGCAGGTACATGAAGCAAAAAGGTGTCTGCTTTTTCACAAATGAGAAGAAGCCCTTCTGTTATAGTCAGGGTTTACATGGGGAAAGATTGAATACAGGTTACACAATTTATAGGATTATTTTACAATATTTACCCAGAGTCAAATGCAAAAATGCAGGGGATCTGTCCACACACTAGAGACCCAAAGGATCCAGCTGAGGACCTGGATACCACAGCAGTGTCCTTCACGAATCCAGCTGAAGGTCTAGAGCTCATGACAATGCCCCCCACAAGTCCAACTGGAGGCCAAGAGTCAAAGACAGTGTCTCATGCAGGCCTGTTTCACAGGTTTGTTCTGGGAAGGCTCAAAGGTTGGTGGTGGAAGCTAGAAAGTCTGCACCAGCAGGGTGAAGGATCGGTGCTAGCAGGCTGATGGATCTGCACTGGAGCCAGGAAGTGACCGGAGCACCCTCAAAGAGAACCACAGCCTCCTCAGCGACAGCAAGGACCTGGGCTCCTCTGATGGTGAGAACAGCTGAGTTCTTATCAGGAAAGCCAGCGTGACAAGCTTCTCCAGGAGAGCCAACAGCCACCCTCTTCCTCCCCAGTTCTCTTTTTATGCTGTTGGCAACAACCCTTACGTGGGCCTTCCACACCCAGCTCCTCGCTGACTCCGTTCAGGTGGGTGCTACAAGTTGACCATTAGTTAATCACCACATGATCTAACAAAACATAGAAGGGTGAAAGGTGAAGTGAGACAGGTAGAGAATTCAGAGGATTTTAAAGAGCAAGTCTTCTTGGGCAACGTTGGTCCAGTGCCATGTTTTTATAGGTGAGAAAACTGAGTTTATGAATCTTGGAATTTCACACTGTTGGAAGTCTGAGTTGGTGGGTTATTATTGCAAACCTATTTCTGGCCTATTCATAATTTTCTCCCCTGTAAGTGGCCAGTAACATGACATTCTGTACTCCTCTGATTGGAGAATGAATGAAACCTCTTTTCTCAGACTTCATAAGACCACCTGCCTGCTGTCTGGTCACGCGCAGATCTGTCAGACTGGAAAGCAGAAATTGTTTGGCCCAAAGAAAGTTTGTATTTTGGAAACTAAAGCACTAGATACGGCAAACAGGATGCTGCTGCCGCGCATTACCAAGGAAGAGCCGTCCCCACTCGGCACGGCCCAGCACAATCCCCACTCTTGCCAGTTTGCTTGAAACAGCTGTGGTAGAATCAGGCATGAGCAAAGGCCTCAGCCATTTCCCCTTCCTCTGAACTTCTAAAAAACACAAAAACTCACAGAGCTGTGAGAGAAGCCAATAAGAAGTAAGGAACATGCAGCAGGTGGTACCATCTGTGCCCGGCTAATTCCAGCCAAAACAATCTGCTCCCTCGAGTTCCCAGTTGTGGAGAAGGGAAGAGAATCTGACAGCGGCGGAGCCAGGGGAGGAGGTGTAGGAGGGCAAGTGCTGAGGCTATTATTCTGACTTTCAGTCGGTGGGAGGAAGGAGAGCGTTGATGCCAGTGAACTATTATCTCTCTCCTTCTCTCTTTACAACCACTGTGGGAGATCCCTCCAAAGTCTCACTAAGCTGGCAAGTAGATCCCACACCTGTGAGACAGACACGCAGGCATCACTGTAGTCTGTCACCACTGCGATGGGAGGGACAGGCATTCCCCAGCAAGACTGGCACGCACAGCCCACCCCGAAGGGAAAAAACAAGAGGGGAGGGAGATTGTGTTTATTTTATTCTATTTTCCTAGCAATCAAATTCCCTCCCTCTCACATGTTCATTCTTTGAAAATTATCCATGGCTTAAAATGGGCTTATCCGCCTCAAGCTTTATCCTCAGGTTGACATTTTCTGAAACAAAATTCTTTCACTTGATGGACTTCCTTGTGAGGAGTGAATCTCTTCTGACACACTCACAATCATGGGATAATAAATGCAACCAATTCAAAGACAGATCAAATTGTCTGCAGCAACGGCTTCCCCTTCAGAGAGTCACCGAGAAACAGGGCCCATTCTTTGCACAGATGGAGGAGAAAGCAATGCTTCAAGGGGTGCAGAAAACCCTGTTTACTAAAAAACAAAGTCTTACCCACTGCAACATTTCCACTTGCTCCTTTGGGATAAAGCACTGTTTCCAGAGAGTGGCTGATGAATGCAAATACCTGGGAGGGGTGATATTTGTCTGTTGTCACCTATTATCACCTTCCGTAGATTAGTTTACCAATGCTATAGCTGAGAGGTGGGCTCCAAGGGAGGGGAACACAGGCAAGTGTACTTTCATGGGATGAAGAGAACTGAAGGGCTCAATTGCAGCGGTTTCCCCAGAAAACAGACCCTCCTGGGGAAATGAGATAGAAGCGGTCTGATATTAAAGGCAGGCAGAGATGTAAGAAGTGGGAAAGAAAGGCGATGGCGCCTGATCCCCCCTGTTTGAGTTGAACTGTGTCTTCCCTCAAAAGATATTTTGAAGTGCTTGCTCCTGATATCTGTGAAGATGGCCTTCTGTGGAACAGAGCACCTTGCAATACCGAGTGAATGAGAGCAGTTGGGAAGGATAATCCGCCATGACAGGCACCCTTAGGAGAAGAGGGAAGTGTGGACGCGCAGACACGCAGGGAGAGGCCGTATAAAAACAGAGTAGAGACTGGAGTGACACATCCACAAACCAAGGAACAGCAATCACTATGAAAGGTCAGCAGAGGCTAGGACAGAAAGAACAGACCCCATTTTCCTTTAAAACAATGCAAAGGATCCATCGCTGTCAACACCTCAATTTTGGATTTTGTGTCTCCAGAGTTGTTGGAGAATAATAATAATACCCAGTTTATGGTACTTTTGTTACAGTGGCCCCAGGAAGTGAGTTCGCGCTCAAAACAAGTCATTCCCGGGCTCTGAATATTCATTTTCTCTGGGCTGGGTCAAAAACCCAAGATCAGTCTCTTACCTAAGCATGCTCTTGGTGCCTGGGCTTTTCCAGATAAAGCAAATATCAAAAGGAATATCCCATTAGGTTTTGAGATGAATGTCATCAGGAAATAGACCAACTGCCTACACTTTTCCCCAAATGTCTTCTATAAGGTAATCTTTTTAATTAAAATAATTAAAGTCCTGTTTCAAAGGGCACTAAAGTACAAGCATGATCGTCTGACTTCCTATAAAGAGTATTTTTCCTGCCTTCCATCCCACATGGTGTCCATTAACAAGAGAAGCACCAAGTGAGTCAGATATTATGGTTACAGGTTTTGTGGTTCCTGTCAGCACTGAGATGAGGAAAACGAGAAAGGAAAACATAAATTGGAAAACAGTGTCAGAGGGCAGGCCAAGATGATGGAAGAAGCAGAAAAGAAAGGAAGAGGCTGCTGTGTGGGAACCAAAACCTTGCTTCAGGTAGGAAATGTCACAGACATTTTTAAGCAGAGAGACATAATTTTTTTCAACTTAATGAAGTAATAGAAATGAGTGAGATATTCCTGGATTCATTACTCTGGTATGATCTTAAACTTTCCCAGCTCTAAATCTCCTGTGAAATTGGCTAATAATTCCTGCAATGTGCTTAGGTAACTGAGATTTGGGAAGGATTTGGGGAGTTTTGTGGGTGAAGCAAGACAGGAGTCAACTGGTGTGTGCTTTGATATATTGCCTTGGCAGCCAGTGGCCTAGAGCTGGATCCGGTGAGACCAGGTCCTGGGATGTGTT